TTTTGTAGGGCATCGTACTCGGCCAGAAAGAATACCTCTCTTCCTATTCACCCCCCCCCCCCGAAGAACAGACCAGTACAAAGACAGACGGGGACCAAAACTCACCCCCATAAATGTATCTTGCGTCAAGAACTCCCAAAATAATGGTGATTTTCCCATTTGTCCTATGGTGGTTGCCACATTTGTCCTATGGTGGTTGCCCCATTTGTCCCATTCCGATTGTCCCATGCATCCCATGGTGAGTGTCCTGTGCATTTCATGGTGACGGGCAAAGTTGCAGTCATCAAATCAACATTCCATTCCAAACTGTGTACTGTAGTTCATGCCAATGCATTTTAATGGCAGCAGCTAATGTGGTTTACAATACAACAAAGCCTCTATGTGTACCTGCGTAGATGCCATATCCATGCAAATCCCAGTGTTCTCTTGATGACTGCAAAAATTTAAATAGTGTTTGTGTGGTGTTTCCGTGGTGTCCACATACAAATCACATTGTATTCCCATGTAGAGTATAAAAACCCCATGGTGTTCCCATGCTGATCACAAAAGCCTCATGGTGTGCCCATGGTATCCACAAAATGTCCCATGGTGATCACTTCAATCAACATTATTTTTTTGCCTGTCCCAATGAATGAAATTGGGGGTGCTCAAACACACTGATCCCTAGCTTGCGACATTACGACCGTGCCCAGCAGTTTGTTGCCCACCGTACATGTTCCATCAATTTGTGGGACTGAGCACCATAGTAAAAGAGCCACGGCAATATGCATGACTAAACCAAATTTGCATTCATAAACTTCTCCCTGCATTCCGCCAGCATTATAGCCATTGTCTGCCGGAGCGCAAAACAGTTTAGCTGCACTAAATCATTGGTCCCAATATGTATGATGATGATGCGCGCTTCCCCGATAGTGTCCAATAATTGTGGTAATTTGTGTATGCATGCTCCACTCCTTCCCAGACATTGAACAGGAAATGGGACACCCATGTTATTGGCAGCCTATCAAACCAGCGAGTCTCCGACAATCCAGGCACACGCTCGCACTTATGGGGCCAGACCTAAAAACCAAATACATGGACAAAGCTTAAATGCTCAACACTCAATGAAGTTTGCCGGTGGAAAGGGACGGGTAGGTGGCCAGTGCATCCAAACGCCATCGACCCATGCACTGTATATCGGCAAAGGGAACGCCAACTTCCAAAGCCGTTGAAGCTGCCCCCATGCGGAATGAGTGGGATCGGTAGTGCGCATTGGTAACACAGCAGCCTAATAATGCCATTTGCAACACCTTATTAAATTGATAGCGTGTTAGGGACTGGTTGTCCATATGACAAAAAAGTGGACCAAGTGTTGGTGGGCGACACTATAGGTACATGTGGAGCGCTTGAACAGGACGAAGAGAAGCATCAGTCCATCTGCCCACATGGACAAGCTGCAGGGGGCTATGCTGGTTTGTCTATGCAAGGAGAGAAATACTCCCTCTCCACCCTGCAGGAAAACATAGATCTGAAATGTGCAATACCGAGTCCTGCACATTGGACCGAGAATGCACTGCAGCCTCACTAAAACTTAAGAAACTGAAGAATGCCAAATAATGCATTACATAACCACCGACTGCCATTTTGTTTAGTCTAAATTGA